AATCCATATCGAAGGCTGTGCTCTGTGATCTTCATAAGTGTATGTTTCAAGTCCTCTTCACTTTCAGCAAGCAAGGATGTATCATCAGTATCTAAGTTTTTATTTCTATAACCAATGCCTGTATCTCTTTACTCTGATGCTTGTTAAACATGGCCTAAGATACACTCATTTAAACAGCTGTACTTGCTATCATTTTATTTTAAATCAATACCTTAAAATAACCTAGTGCTAAAGAATAAAAGTTTTCAAATACATCATGAGAAGCTACATCACACAGTGCATAAACTCTGTGAAATATTTATTGTCTCACTTTACACATGTGAAAGTGAGGAAAAATAAAAACCTAAAGGAATCATACTATACACAAATCCAATCAGTAGCTGAGCCTGAACACAACCACTAAATAGAGCATTTAAATATATAGCCTCGCTTCTCCTGACTTCCAGTCACAGTCCTCAATCAAACTCAAGCTTCAGCTCATAAGCTTTCAGTAGCCTATCAGATCTCATTACTCAGGCATCTTTGGAAATTGAAAATAATGAATGGTACTTAACAAAATCTAAGGGGTCAAATCGAAGCAGGAACTTCAACAATACAAATATATAAACTATATATTTGATTACTGTGAGCCTAATGCAAAGCAGTAGATACAGAGATGGGTAGAGGGTAAAATCAAATGGTGGCATTAATAATCCAAATTTAGTTATATGAGGGGCTTTATCTTCTTATTTCATTTCCAACAGAATTGTTTATGCCATTTTCGTATTAGCTTCTGAAAGTTTTGAGGAAATGTATAAACTTTTAATTATGTTTTTCAAACTAAAGAAGGAATGTTAAGGCTTTAGAATCTGGGATGAAACTAGAATGTTAACAATGAGGGAAACTGCAATGTCTGGGAATACACTACTATTTTTATAATTTTTTATAAATCTAAAAGTTATTTTAAAATAAAGTGTTGTGGGTTTTGGAGGTGGCGGTTTACTTTTTAAAACTGGGAGGTCCTGAGGCTGTATTATAAATTTTACAGAATTACTTAGAAAGCAAATTCTTTAATACAAATATAGTATGCAGTTCAAGCCCACCAGTAGCTCTGTAGGAGAAAGATGAATGTTTTGTTCCTGCAAAGCTTCTCAATGCTTCGGAAATCCTATACAGGGTCACTGTGAGCCAGAACTGACTCAAATGCACTTAACAACAACAATAATGTAAAGTTTGTAGTAATTTAAACTAATATAAAAACTTAGTTTTAAAGTGATATACATGTAAACCTTAACAAAGACTAGATAGGCTTGACTAATTATTAAGTGCATTAATTAAAATATTATTTTAGAAAATT